GCACCTAAATTCTGGACTCCAGTCATCTGTGGGTACTCTATCTCCCTTTGGGCACTGACGTGCCAGCCAGCATTCCACGCACCGCGACACTCTGCACACTAATGTGTCATTGGGTTGGTCCTGGTATCATGTGGAATGTGTTCTGGGTTTGGGGGTGCTTCCTCTGGCAGCAACACTGGTCCCCAATAGAAGTGGGAGGTTCTGACCCAGGAAGCATTCAGAGGATCCAAATGGGTGGCCTGCAGATTTGAAACAGTAAAATTAGATGCTATAGCTCTCTTCTGCTGAACAAAAAGCCTTGCTTGAAGAAAAAGACTCCTTTCTCTGGAGCAAGACTTTCCCCTTAGCAAAACGTTGTTTCCAACGAAAGACATTTTGTAAAAAAAAAAAAACACCCTTGTGGGGTTTTTTCTTCGAAAAGAAAAAAAAGCCCACACACCATTGTGGTCCTTTCTGTCACTTTTAGTCTAGAATGGAACCTTCTCTCTTCCAACAGGAAGTGTCCTGTTTTCACCACAGAAATGCCAAAGCCTAAACCACCATCATTTTGTACCTATAATCTTGACCAATAGAGGTTTCAGTTTGAGTTGGGTGTCACTCTAGCCTTTCCCCATCTCTATGACTTGAATGTCCTGACGCAGATGGCCCCAGCTAGCCTGATCTTGTTAGATCTCAGAAGCTAAACACGATCAGCCTAGGTCAGTACTTGGATGCGAGACCACCAAGAAAGTTCAAGGTCACGACGCAGAGGCAGGCAATGGCCAACCACCTCTGAGCATCTCTTGCCTTGAAAACTCCATGGCTGGGGTGTCAAACATGCGGCCCGGTGGCCAGATCAGGCCCCTGGAGGGCCTCTATCAGGCCTGCAGTGGAACTGGCCATCTCCTGCTTCCAGTTCTGCTGCTGCATCATAGCTTGCTTTGTCAGACTTTCTTAATCACTCAGCCATTTCATGTTTTAACCTGAGTCCTAGACTTAGAACTCTGAGCATGGGGTTTCTGTGGCGAATGTCAATAAATCAAGAGTAGGTTTGCAGCTTGCAGAGCTAATGTTTTAAGCATGTTTTTATTTTAAGTAAAAAAAAATTTTTCTGTTTGTGTCCTTTATAAAGTTTATATCTCCGCTACCTGGCATTACATTTTATGACACGCATAGCCTGGCCCAACAAGGTCTCATTTATGTCAGATCCGGCCCTGATAACAAATGAGTTCGACACCCCTGCTCTATGGGGTTACCATAAATCGGATGGGATTTGATGGCACTTTCCTCCACCACCATGACTAGAACGAATAAGTTCTCTTGCAGGCATCAGTTTGAGGTCTACCTCTTTATTGCCTTGAAACTTTTTTTTTTTGGGGGGGGACACGAAGACTGCCATTTCCCTTTCGCAATACTAATCCAATGCCGAGGTGGATCCTGTGCTTATTCAGCACTCTCCTCGATGCAGAGCCCTGTCAAGAGCAGCGAAACCCCCTGGATCAATGTCCTCCTGTGTCACAAAGTTAAATTCCATCTCCCTTTCCTGGAGCAGCTCCCTGCCATTGTGAGAAAAATGGGATTCTGGAAAGCCATTCATTATCCATCAGAAGTGACAGCCCGCTCGAAAGCATCTTCCCGGCTGGGTTAACTGAAACGCAACAATCCCCCCATTTGATTAAGTGGCTGCCAGACTGCTCTTACTTCCGCAGGTCAGAGTGCAACCAAGTAGGCACAGCAAGGCAACATCGAGAGCATCTCATCTGCTCTGGGAGATAAACAGCTTAATCTGCTTTGGAGGCACGGGCGGCGCAACACTTCCACTGCCAGGTCGAGGGTTTGTGGGTTGCGTGTTTTTTTTTTTTAAAGGAGAGGACTCGATATTCCAGCTGCTCAGAATTGGCCACAGCTGAAAGAACGATGAGAATACATCAGTGAGAAACTCTGTTTCCTCGCATAACACTAGACTTTGCATAATGCAGCAGATTGCACCCCAGAGAGGGGTTAAATCCGCACTTTTCTCAACCCTGCTGGAGATTTTCTCAGAATCTGGACTGCATGGACGTTTACCCTGATGAACCTGCTTCAGACTTTTCGTGCTCAGCAGCTGTGTTTGAGTCGCGAGGGGGCAAAGTACAACCAGATGCATTGGTCAGATTTTGATTTCACAAAAAAGGTTTGTTGCAATAGTGTAATTCATGGCCAACCAGGGTATGATGCTGGGAATATCCATGCATACATTTCCTAACATATTCTGTTAAGGATTGGGGATGCAGGGCACTGGGAGATGGGATTTAATCTTCATAACAGGAACTGTGACCCCATTAGCTTTAAAAGGGGGGGGGGAACCCACAAGTGCTCTCTTTGCCTGTCTCCCTACCCCTCTTCCAAGAAATGGAAAAGTGAGGATGTGTTGTGCAGTGGTTAGATAGCTGGACTAGAACTTGGTAAGTCCAGGTTAAAATCCCTGCACAGCCTGAGACTCACTGTGTGACCTTGTGCCCATCACTCAGCCTACCTCACAGGGCTGTTCTTCTGAAGATACAGCGGAGGAAGAGTGAGAACCATGCATGTCACCCTGAGCTCTTTGGAGGAAAGGTGGAGTAAGAGAATGTCTTAAATAAATAGTGCATAAAAGGTACCCCCCTGCCCAACATACTTTAACTTTGATCCAAACTGGGTCTCCATGTGGCTGCTTTTGGCCTTTAAAAACACAGAGAAAATCTGCTCATGGAACTCCAATTGTCACATCCATGTTGCTTCTCAGGGGGAGACAACTGCTGGTGCAAAGTCCAGACCTGATTCAGAAGAACCTACCAAATCCTAAACACAGTTAAAACATAGCTGTAGCTTCATGTGTAAGGAAAAGGAAGTCAACGAGACCTATTTTGTAAGAGGCAATTCAACCTTCTCCATTAAATCTAAGCTTATCGATTCTCTTGAGATTCACACCTCAAGATCTGATGAAACGTGCATGCACACGAAAGCTTACACCCAGAATTAAACTTTGTTGGTCTTAAAGGTGCCGCTGGACTCTAACTTTGTTCTATTGCTTCAGACCAGCACGGCTGCCCACATGAATCTAGCGAGAATTGTTTACTCAGCCCTCCACAAATAGATGTCTCTCAATTCAACTTTATACCACTGGAGGGCAGTAGACAGGTGCAATGGGGAAAATTCATCTCTTCCTAAAATACATTTACTTGCTAGTGAGGCATCTGAATAACTCCTGACTTTTATACACTGAAAGGGAGAGTGATCACTTTTGCTTTGCTTCTCTTGTACAATCTAATCTTGAAACCTGTTTTGCACTTAGAATCACCCTTTATTCCAATTAAGAAGACGACAAGATTGGATTTATACCCCGCCCTTCACTACCCAAAGGTGTCTCAGAGCAGCTTACAAACTCCTTTTCCCTTCCCCTCCCCACAACAGACACCCTGTGAGGTAGGTGGGGCTGAGAGAGCTCTGACAGAAACTGCTCTTTTTCAAGGACAGCTCTTATCGGAACTACGGCTTGCCCAAGGTCATCCAGCCAGGTGCAAGTGGAGGAGTGGGGAATCAAACCCGGTTCTCCCAGATTAGAGTCCGCGCACTTATCCGCTACACCAAACTGGTGTAAGGCCCAGCAAACAGCCCATCTGTTACTACGAATGGGTGTGAAAGGTGGACAGTGGAGAAAACTGATTTGAAACGTGGCATTGAAGGAGAATTTTACGGATGTCATGGACTGCCAAAAACACACATAAGCCGGCTCTAGATCAAATCAAGCCTGAATTCTCCCTAGGAGCTAAAAATCACCTAGCTGAGGCTATTGTACCTGGTCCCATCTTGAGAAGACAAGACTCACTGGCGCAAACAACAAGGCTAGGAAAAGAGGCAGACCCAGCAAGAGATAAGTTGACTCCATAAAGGAAGCCACGATCTTCAGTCTGCAAGGCTTAAACTATAGGGTGTTTCAGAGGTCATTAATTCACAGGGTTACCATAAATTGGAAATGACTCGATGACACCTAACACCCACAAGCAGGCCAATCAGACTGGCAAATCGGGGGGTACGGGCAGTGTTGCCTCTTTCAGATCTTCTGCGGAGGGGGCTTGGATCCTGGGTGGGGACTTCTTTCCAGGTCTACCGCTCCACCCTGCCAGGCAAGGAGAAAGCAGAGGGAAGGGCCTTCTCTCCCTGTAAGGTTGCTTCCCGGCTCATTAAATAAGACAACAGGTGTTCAGTTTGTGAAGGAGTGTATTTTTGACTTGTGCACCATACAAGAGGAGGAAAATACACTTCCAGGTCTCCTACGAAAGTCCGTTTTTCTGCCTAGCACGGCAGCAACTAGGAGCCCAGAGCCTGCCAGCTGGCCCGTCCCCCGGCCCAGGAGGCTCCCCATTCGAACTTCATATCCATACAGTTTCTTTAGAAGAGAGGGAGTATATCAAGAACAGCTCAAGTCTACAAACATACTCTTGGAAGAAAAGACAGTGTTCCACCGATAACATTAACACGTCCTGCAGCCAGAGATCTCGCCGGCTAGCTCAGAACCTGCAGAAGGCTCCGTCCAGATCAGCAGGTGACCCGTTGTAAGACCAGCTGTGGGTGTGCGGGGAGGGGGGAGGCTGCCTCTTCAACAGGCTGACTGCTGCGAACCGAGCATGCCCGGAGCCGCAAAACATCCCGGTTCATTCGCTGCCTTTCCCTTCCTGCTCTAGATTGGCACATTGCTGCAAACGAGCACTTTCCAACCAGTGAGTGCACTGAGAGTCCAGTCAGTTTTGGGGAAAGCTTCCCTGACCACATCCATAATTGTTGCCATGATTAAATCCCAAAGTCTCTCCACTGGAAGAGGAATTGGTTATCCGCTCCATTTAGAAGCAGCCCGTTCAAAGCCCAGAGACTGCATGGAAGCGGGGGCAAAGGTGATGCCGCCTCCAACTTGGGGGATTTCTGGAGATTTGTGTGTGTGTGTGTGTGTGTGCAGGGAGAGCTTGTCGCCTTTTCTGGAGATTTGGGGTGTGTGTGTGTGCAGGGAGAGCTTGTAGCATGGGGAAGGGACGGAGCTCAGCAGGGATATGGTGCCATACAGTCCACCTCCCGAAGCGGCCGTTTCCTCCGGGGAAGCTGATCTCTGCAGAGCAGTTGTAATTCTGGAAGAACTCCAGGCCCCAGCTGGAGGGGGCAACCCTACTTGATTGGCACATTCCTTTAAAAAAAAAAAGCATTCTAAAGGTGTCAACGCAGGTGGGTGCTAGCCCATGAATGGAGCCGGCTGGTGCGGCAAGATCGCCGGACAAGACGGAAGGGCGATCCTGTTAAACGAAACAGATCAGGTACCTTCCCAGAATTCGAACGCAGCCCATCCCAATGCCCTTCTGCTTCAGGAATCGTCAGCACATTTCAGCAAATGCAACCTTTCATGGGATCTCAATAAATAAATAGTATTTACATATAAAGGTCCGTGCCATGGGTGCAGGATAAGTCCCCCAAGAAGCCATGTGGTGTTTGACCATCGAGTGGGGTGGAGATCATTCTTTGTAACTGTGTCCAGAAGGTCCGTGATCTATGGAGCAACACATTTCAACTTCAGCGTGCATACTTTAACATGGGACTCGATGACCCAGTGTTCAGTGCCTGGTTCCGTAATGGAAGGATTCCCATCACTCTCAGCATATTCTCTAACTGCAGGGAGATGACAGCAGGCAGTTAAAGGGATGCTGTTCTTTGTGGGCATCGTCACAAACCGGCAGGAGGATCTAAAGCCAAAAGGTTCATGTAAGCCGTTGCCATGTCGCTCCCCTGCTCATGGTGATAGATCCAGATGGTCAGCTGGGTTGGTTGAAAGCAGTAGAACACCTCTGCTCATGGTGTCAGTCTCCCGCACTGTCTCCAGTTTCTTGTCATTTTCATATAGGCAGGAGCTCTGGAGGATACTCGCCATAGCAGTACTTTGCAACAGGGTCACGGTAGGTGTTTTCATGCTGTACACTCTGTGTGGGAGACAGAGAGAAAACGACATCTGTGATGGACAGGTTAGATTCCGCCTTTCCCTAAGAGTGGCCAATGACAGCTGCCAGAATGTTAGAGACAGGTGAAAAACAGGAGTTGAGAGAGCAGTTGGGAGTTGGCAGCTTGGAGAGATGTCTGACTGAGTGAAGCTGGGGTGAAGATCAGCTTAAAGCTAACTGACAATCTGTAACTTAGTATCCAAGATACTGGAATAGGGAAACAGTTCAAACGTTCAATGAGGGAAAAAATTGGTACCTCTATCTTATGTTCTTCAGTGTTATGTTCAAACTAGGGGTGTGCATTCAGCTAAATCTGAGCTGAAAAAACATCCAGAAAATACCTTATTGGTATTTTGGGGGTATTGATTCAGCGGGACATAAATTTTGGATATCGCTCATCTATCTGAAATGCCCAAGCCCTGAAAATTCCAAAAAAAATTGGGATTTTCAGGACCGCTGAATAGACAAACTTAAAGGGTGTTTAAAGGGACTGCGGGCCCTTTAAATCCCTTCCCCCTCCATTGAAATCCATACACACACACACATATATAGGATATGAATAAATGGTGGCAGTATGTGAATGGGACAGTGTTTGAACCCCCGAACCCAAGTGTTTGAGTGAGGTCCTGTCATTAAAGGGGGCTGGGCTACCCTGTCTGTAGATCTCTCTTTGAGTGTCAGTGGGAACCTCAGAGGGGAAGCAGTCATGGCTCTCTAGAGATTTTAAGATAGCGAGGATGGCCTGACCTACTTGTAACATACTCTGTGTGTGAGAGAGAGAGGGTTTAGAGGGTGGTAGATACTCAGTGTGACTGGAGAAGGGGCGTCACAATATCATTTAGGAAAGATCAAGCACACACAGAATAAAGTCACAGACCAGAGTCTGAGCCCCTCCTTGTCAGGCAGGTAGATCACACGTGAGCAGGGGGCGAGCACTTGACACCACCACAGGAGGAGGCAGTTGAGACTCATCCAGGAGTCTGAGCCAACCCTCTCAGCCTCGCCCTCTGACTCCGACATGGACCCACAGCCCTCCGTCCTGAAGCCCAGTGCAGCACCTGAGGTCTCTCCACAACTGACCCCCTCAAGCGTCACAAATCCCTGAACCACCTCCACCCCAACATTGCCAGAAGCGCTTTAAGAGCAAGTAGCCTAGTCCTGGAAGGGCGGGGCTCGCGTCTCCACCTCCTTGCAGGACCATTTAAGGCCTTTGCTGGAGCAGCATCTACATTCTGGTCCTCTTGCCTCACGTCCCACGACTTGACTCCTGGACCTCAGCCCCGAGCAGGGCAAAAAAGCCGATTCCCTCTTGTCCCTCAGTGAGAGAGGGGAAGGGACAAGCTGGTTTCCTGCAAGCCACTGGCCAGTGCTGCAGTCATACATTACTTGATATCATGCAGCAATCATTCAGAACTGGGCTCATCCACACTGGAAAATTTACTTGCAAATGATAGTTGTAGTGCAACGATAGCATAATATCGGCTGATGTGTGGATACAGTCCCGGAAAATGAATGGAGCCCTAATTAAACGATATTCTAGAAGTCTGAAGCAGATGTGCCAATTCTGCTGCTTCAAACAGAATAGAACTACTGCAAATTGTGCATATTTCAAACTTGTATTAAATACAAGTTTGAAATATGCACAATTTGCAGTAGTTCTATTCTGTTTGTATTCATATCATACTGCACCCCCCGCCCCCATCTTTTTGGTTTTAATTCTGCTGCTTCAAGCACTGGAGGGAGCATGCCGAAGACATCTTGCCTTGCCCCCATGCCTCTTACCTGTGACGAGGTCCTGCACTTGGCCAAGCACAGTTCAAAGTGGTCTTCCACCGCCATGAACAGGTTTCGGAAGGCTATGGCGGCTCGGTTCAGAAAATGTTCCAAGAGACGTTGCTGCAGGGAGAAGGAAGGGAGAACAGGACACTTGTAAGAGGGCAGGAAAGGGATGATGTTTGCGTTGGGCCACTGCTACGAATTTGGCTATTTCCAATTGAGTCAGCGAGACTGAAGTCCAGGAGCACCCTATAGACCAACAAGATGTTCCAGGGGTAAGCTTTTGAGAGCCAATGCCTCCTTCATTAGGTATCCAGGTTACCTATCCCTGCTCAGTCTGAAACCCACCATGTGACCTTGTGCCAGTCACTCGGTCTACCTCACAGGGCTGTTCTTCTGAAGATACAATGGAGGAAGGATGAGAACCATGCATGCCACTCTGAATTCCACGGAAGAAGCAGAAGAAGAGTTGGTTTTATATCCTGCCCTTCACTACCTGAAGGAGTCTCGGAGCGGCTTACAATCATCTTCCCTTCCCCTCCCCACAACAGACACCCTGTGAGGCAATTGGGGCTGAGATAGCTCTGAGAGAGCTGTGACTGGCCCAAGGTCACCCAGCTGGCTTCATGCGGAGAAGTAAGGTGCAAAGTGGGTCTCCAGATCAGAGTCCACCGCTCTTAACCACTGCACCAAACTAGCTTGGAGCAAGGATGGAGTAGGAAAACGTGCCAAATAAATAAGAGATAAAAAGCTACCCCCAACATACTTTAACTTGTCCAAACTGGGTCTCCATGTGGCGGCTGTTGTCTTTTAAAAACTCAGGGAAAATCTGTTAATGAAACTCTGAGCATCATATTCATGATGGTTCTCAGGGACAGACGACTGCTAGCCACATCTGGTTCAGGAGAATCTACCGCGATCATGAGCACAGTCAAAACCGAACAAAATAAGTTATTATAAAAATACAAATATTTATTATGGTGTAAAAAAGGTAAAGGTTCCCTTGCTCGAAAGCCAGTTGAATCTGACTCTAGGGTTGCGGTGCTCATCTCCGTTTCAAAGCCAAAGAACCAGCGCTGTCCGAAGACATTTCCGTGGTCATGTGGCCGGCATGACTAAACACCAAGGCGCACGGAACGCTGTTACCTTCCCACCGAAGCGGTACCTATTTATCTACTTGCAATTTCTTGCTTTCGAACTGCTAGGTTGGCAGGAGCTGGAACTAGAGACGGGAGCTCACTCCGTCATGCGGCAACTTGGGTCTCGAACTGCTGAACTACCGACCTTCCACAGCCCGCAGTTCAGCGTCTTAACCACTTGAGCCACCGCAGTAGTAAAAGATAAAATAGGTTGAAAGAAATTATCCAGATATCAGACTCTTAAAACGTTTTACACACAGAGCTGATAGTTTTACATATACAATCGATGGGTACATCTCTTGATATTTTGATCCCTTCTTTTAACCTATTTTTATCTTGTTAGCTTGACCCTCACATATCACAGCCATATCTTAGGTCGGGTGTCCCCCCCCCCCTTTTTTCTCGGTCACGGTCAAAACCCGAAAGCTCCTGCCCCGAAAACTTAGTTGGTCTGCAAGGCGCTGCTGGCCTTGAATCTAGGTGCTCTACAGCAAACCAACACGGCCGCCCTCTGAAGCCAATTAACACCAAAGCAGACGGCACGCTTTGGGGTGACACAAAACTGGGAGGCATTTCAGACTTTTTGGAGGTGGAGCAAAACATTCAGAACGCTCTTAGAATAGAAAACAGGGATGAAAAGAAAACAAACATGGTAAGGGGAAACCCAAGGGTCGCAGGGCCGAGTCACAATTGCATGTTCAGTGCTTGATGGTTTCAGCACCAAGTGGCTACCGACAGGACTTCCGTGTCACGTGACATCAGTTCAAGCGAACATTGTTTCAACCTCGGAACACTACGTATACACGGGAAAGCTAATGAGTGATGAAAACAAGGCACTGAATGATAAATGGGGGAGGAACCGTGGCCCAGGGGTGGAGCCTGTGGCCCAGGGGTGGAGCCAGGCAAAAGGTCTATGGTTCAGTCCCAAGCATGGACTTTTAAATATCCTTTTTCTGCTGAGCACGAGGGATAGCCACTGCCAACCCGGATGAACAACCCGGATGAGTTAGGTCTGGCACGGTACTAACTAGTTTCCTAAGATGGTACCCACTGCCGGCAGTTACTGTAGGGACTTGCATTAAAATTAATTAACAAGTTATTTAAAATTGACATGACTGAGCTATTTGGATCTTATGCTATTCTTCCCATAATGAGGTTGGACTGGCACACAGTGCTTCCTTCCTCCCATTTTCTCTGCACAATCATTCTTTGAGGTAGAGCAACCAGACCAAGTAAGCTTCATGGCAGAGTCAGGTTTGTTTATTCAGATATTTATACCCCACTGTGCTTGCAAGCGACTTAAAATGACTTCCAACACGGTTCTCCCCTCCTTCAGGTTCACAACAACCCTGAGAGGTTGCTTAGGCAGAGAGACAGTGGCTGCCCAACTACACTCAGCAATAATCTGTAGCAATAATCTGTAGCAGAAACTTGGGGGCTCCCAGATCCTTGTCCGACACTGTAATCACTAGATTCGAATCTGAGTCTCCCTGGTTCTAACTCGGTATTCTAACCACTGCATCACACCTCTTCTTTTGTTATTGTTGCTAACACCTTACTGGAAAGATCTAACATTGCATTGCTGAGTGACGTTTTTTTAAAAATTGGACTGAGTCAGTCCAGACAATTCTTCACTGTAGCAAAAATCTGCATCACTGAATAGAGCAAGAGTCCTGTAGCACCTTAAAGACTCACAAAATATGTGGCAGGGTATGACCTTTCGTGACATGGCTACCCATCTTGATCTGAGTTTCTGAAAGAACAACAAGAGTTCCAAACTCTTTAAGCGACAAGATCTGGCTGTAATGGAAAGTGCCACCCCCCAAAATAATATTCAATAAAGAGCATCTAAAGGCTTCAGATTGAAACTTTCCCAACTGTGTTTCTTTGTTATCGTTCTGGAGCATGCATGGATGGACAAACGCATTTGAAAACTCAGCAACTGACGGTGGTGTGTGGGGAAAAAACCTTTGGCTTGTTAGAATTAAACAGGGTACTTGAACGCATATCAAAACTATTGCCAACATCAGAGTCGTGCTTAGGAAGATGTCGCAAGGTATGTTGCAAGGAGAAGGATGCTTCTATTTTTTTTTTTATGGACTGAGATTTTTAATTGGATCCATGTGCAGCCCTGCAAGAGTACATGCAACCCTGAGCAAGGCACTTGGCCAGGGGCTCTGCTTCTTCCCTGCCCCCACCACTGCCCCCTACTTATTAACCGAGTTGTGAAGCCAGAGTCTCCTACCTTGTTGGGTTGCAAGCAGCAGGACACGCACGCCTCGTACACGCTGCAGCAGCCGTTGGGCAGGCACGAGTCGCAGCTGTACAGCTTTGTGCTGGGGGCGTCCACATTGCAACAGCCATTCACCAGCACGTGCCTCCTTTCACAGATGTAGCCTGCAAAAGGAAACAGGTTGAGAGTGGGGGACTGAACAACGGCACATGTGCTCACAGCACTAGAACTAAAGTGCAAAGCAGATGCTACTATGCCACCGAGCACAATTCAGGTCAGGGTTTCCCCCGACCCAACTCTGACGTTTGCACAGCCCAGCGTGACATCAGGGAAGTAAAGTTCCCAAGTGCACTGGGGCCAGTTTTGGCTCTGCACCACAGCGTTCAAGGAGGAGCTTCCTACATGCGCATGGTGGCCTTGAGCCAAATTGAGCCCCGGCATGCCTGGGAACTTTAGTTCCCCCACCGTCATACTTGCCTGTGCAAAGACTGGAGTTGGGGCAAGGGTCTAAGGGATCATCCAGTTGAACTGCTGGATAACAACTTTCTACTGGATGGGCAAAGCAAAGTTCCTTTTGTAGAATTATTACATTAACAACCCCCCCCCCGGCAAATTAATACATTTGGAACTTTGTATATTGTTCTGGTCACCCAGTCTCAAAAATGATGTCTTACAGGTGGAGCTGGAGCAGCGAAAGACTACTGAAATGATGTAGGGGCTGCAGCACCTTCTAGACTGAGGATATAACACACCTAACCTTGGAAGCCCTAATCCTAATCCCTGACTGGCTATTGTTATTCAGTGGTGAGGTATTCACTCTGCACATGTCCAGGGAAGCATTTGTCTTCATTATTACTTTTCCCCAATACAAATGAAACTCTGCAAACCCAAATTTAGCATGCATGACCCCTCACAGTTTAGTCCTATGCCTGTTAAACCAGAAGCAAACCCCAAGTACAACAGGAAAAGCATGCACCGGATTCCAACTTCAGCGATACCAGGGGACAGCCATGAAGAGGGATAACCCACACGGCCTCCTGCAGCTCTCTCGGAAAAGAGACTCACCCAGGTCATCTGTAATGAGAAGCTTCCCTTGGACGGAATTTCTGCATTGGTTACTTGGCTGGCTGCTGTTCCCTGAATGGAACTGCACTTTCCAAGCAATGGGGTGGTCTTCGTTCTGCACTTGGAGGAGATTCCGATCGCGGACTGCTCTCTCCTCCTGAGACAGAACAGAGCAGTGAGGGACAGAAACAAACATTCCTCCTCTCTTGACAACACATCAACTCACAACAGGAGAAAGTTCAAAGGACTGATCCGTGCATCATCATACAGAACATATATGCGGTAAAAAGGGAACATTCTTTCACAGCTGGTGGGATTGTGTCCATATTGCAGACTTCTGGAAACAAGTTTTACAAGCTATAAAAGAGACAACAGGTTATGAATTTACCTCAGACCCTTTGGTGAGTCTATTAAATTGCTGGCAAGGAGACGATTACCCCAAAATCCACAGGGATCTAATTATGGTCTTGCTCACGGCCGCTAAAGTGGTAATCACCCAACACTGGAAGGAAAAATCCCCCCCTACAATAGCAGAATGGTATTGTAAAGTGTGGGATTATTTTATGCTGGAAAAATACACAAAATATACCAATGGAGCTAATATAGATAGTGACCTCTTCAACCCTATTGATAAATGGCACCCTTTTATTGAGAGAATGGCTAAAGACAGAGAGAACTGTGAAAGCTGGTCACATTACAAATATTGGTCATTATTACATTGTATTTGAAAGAATAAGATCTGTAAAAGGATTGTTGGGTATTTAGTGTTGTATAAAACAGAGTATAGAAGTACCTCGCAGAAGAAAAAATATTCCTGTTTATTAAGGAAAAATAAAAACTGTAAAACATCCTACGTTTGCTAACAGAAAGTTACTTTTTGAATGTTTATGAAAATGATTGACTGTATTCTACCCATGATATAACTATGTTAAGTTGTTATAGATTGAAAGATGCTGTACCTGTTAAAACAATAAAATGTTTTTTTCCAAAAAAAAAAAATCATACAGAACCTATTGTTAAGAGACTGAATTAAGAACCAGGAAGTCCCGTATTTGAATCTCCTTTAGGCAAGCTGCTGACGTGTAGCCTCAGTTTCCCATTTGCAATAACAAGGATAACCCTATTGGCCTTACCTTACTGAGCTGCTGTAAAGGATTAGAACAAGGTAATATATGTGAAGCAGTTTGAACACTCAAAAGCATTATAAAAATGTTAAGAGAGAGTTGTTTAGAAGGCTCTGGCGAAGGAGCAGGGCCTAACTTTTGTGGGTGAATGATATGTGTGAATGCCAAAAAAAGGAAGCAGTTGATCTTACACACAGTCATAGCCATTTATTAATTAAAACGAATACTGAGTGCACATTTATTTAATTAATTAAATTTGATTTGCTAGACCCCCCCTTCCCTACAAGTAGGGCTCAGGGTGGCTTACAACAGAACAATATACAAAATTCTTTAAAACTAAAACCAACATTAAAACCACCTAAAAACAGATCAGTAAGTAGGAACAAGATACATATAAAAGATGGTGGGAAAAATCAGCTCCCCCAGCCTCCTTTGGGGAAGGGATTGCGAGGGACCTAAAGGTGAGCAACACGCATCTATCACACCAAGACACAATGTTGCATTTGAAGCTTAGCTACCCAAAGGTGCATGAGATCACCCACACTGGGGTGGAAAGGACCATGTGAACTGGACCCTGGGAATGCTCAAAAGGGAAGAGAGGATGGCACAGAACAGATGTGTACTTTACACTGATCAAATTAAAATTTGGTGCCCAAATTCAGCATTAAGTAAAACTTTAGTAGTGTGATTTCTAAATTATGCCTATTGAACATATTTGCATAATGTCTCTTATTCTGCATAAATAAGCCACTGCTATTGGGATTTCTTTTTTGTTACTTTAGCTACCCATGGGGAGAATCAAAGAATTATATTCCTAACCGTTAGTAATCTCATCCAGCCATCTGATCATAAACCTCACCCCAGCAGTCAAAATATACCCAAGATAAATGAATTTCTCTTATGAGCAAAAAGCTCTTTGTTAATACCATCTTATACATACTTACTGGAGTGTGTCCCACTGAACTCAAAGGGATTTGCTCCCAAGTAAATTTGCACAGGGGCTGCTACTATGATTTTATGGGTTGCTACTATGATTTTATCAGGATTTACATCAGCACATTCAGTTGCTACTATGATTTTATCAGGATTTACCGTACATCAGCACATTTAGTGATCGTTACCAACTGCCTCTGTGTTAGCAGTGGCTGTCTTGCCTGCTGCTGCACAACAAAAAAGAGCTTGGGAGGGGCGGGGAGGCCTTGCCTCAAATCCCCAAGCAGCCACAATACTCTCTGGGTGACCTTGAGCCACTTATGCTCCTCCACCCAAGCCTACCACACGAGGCTGTCGTAAGGCCAAAATCAGGATAACTCCACCCATGTATACCATGCAGGAAGGGTGGGATACAAGTGTGCAAAATTTCATTGTCTAAATTGCACTGGATTGTTATGTTCTTGTATTTAGTGTTGTTTATTATAAGCTGCCTTGAGAGTCTTTTCCTGAAATGCAGGATATAAATGTATAAATAAACAAATTAATACTTTCAGGACCATAGATCAGCCATCCTTGCTAGGGAATGCTGCCATACCTCTAGGGAAAGCTTTGAAAAATGAACAAAGAATCAATGACTTCCTCCTAATCAACACTTCTGTAACCCTGGAAAAGATCAAGGGTCCAGTGGCACCTTAAAGGCTAACAAAATTTGTGGCAGGGTATGATCTTTCATGAGTCACCGCTCACTTCTTCGGATACAGCTACAATGTGAGTCCGTCTGTCTTTATATCTTGGAGAATTGAGTGATTTCAGATGCCGAATGACAATAGCAGGCAAATGACAATAGCAGGTATGACTGGATATCCTTCTGTAACGCTTTCACCACATGACTAGATGCATTTTAGTGACCATGAATTGTTAGCGTCAGAAATGTATGTGCTGAATCAAAAGTTATTTGTAAGTTACAAAGCTCTCCCTGGCTTGTGCTACTTGACTTAAGCATCCTGCCATCATCAGAATTGTAGTAAATAAAGAGGGAGTATTTTCAGGGTCTTATCTAATAGGCATGCGTGGATCCAGATGATGATGAAGGAGACAATGATGATGATGAAGGAGATGATGATGAAGAAGAGAATGAGATTGGATTTATACCCTGCCCTTCACTACCTGAAGGAGTTTCAGAGCTGCATACAATCCCTTTCCCTCCCCCATCCCCTCCCCACAACAGACACGCTGTGAGGTAGGTGGGGCTGAGAGAGCTCTTTTGAGAACTGCTCATGAGAGAACAGCTCTGAGAGAACTTGTGACTGACCCAAGGTCACACCAGCAGCTGTGTGTGGAGGAGTGGGGAGGGGAGTGTACTGATCACTCCATCAGTGATTTTTTTAAAAAAAATACCCCACAAATGTCACCATTCTAAAAACATTATTTAAATGGGAGCTGTCAAGTCACAGTCAAGACTCCAATGGAGAAAAAGAAATGCTACTATTCTTGTTTTTAACATTTTTCAATGGAGTGAATCAATGTTTCTGGGGAGAGTGATGCATCTACTGTCTCCATGCTGAATGTTTCATTTTATTCATTTAGATATCCCACCTTTCTTTATGGAAAGCTCTTACAAATCATAATTAAAAATGTCACAATTTAAACCAACAGAATAAAACCCCAAACAGTTGGCGCTCCTCCACTGGATACCTGCAGCTTGTACGTCCATCAACTACCCTGACAAACAAAATGTCCTTGCAATGCCTTGCTTTTCTAAACCTTCCTTCTGGTACTTAAAAATCCCACCTTCTCGTCCTGTCTTTGTGGAATGAGACAATTCTTTGGTCCCCCACCCCTTCCATCTAAAATTCTTTAACCCACCAAGATATCCATCCCTGTACTGCAATATTATTTATCTAGATACTTATGCCTCACTCTTGCCCTCAATGGGTACCCAAGTATAGCTTACAACACTGTTCTTCCCTGCTTCATTTTATCAACAACAGCCCTGTAAGGTAAGTTAGGCTAAGAGACAGTGAGTAGCCTAAGGTCAACCCGTGAGCTTTTGTGGCTGATTGGGGATTTGAACCCAGGTCTCCTAGGCTGACACTCTAACCCAGGGGTGTCAAACATACAGCCCATGGGCCGGAACTGGCCTGTCCAGGGCTCTTATCTTTATTGCCAGATGACAGAGGCTGTGCATTATGTCCCTGTATCCTGTCCCAATGCTAATGCATGTAGGGCAGTGGAAGCGGGAGGGTGGGTATGAGGGAGATACTTTAAGGAAATACTGTAAGACTGTTTATGTTTTAAGCATGTGTGTATTTTGAGTTAAAATATTGTTAATTGGGTTTGCCTGCATTCTTTATAAAGTTTATAGCTCCCATACCTGGCATTACATTTTATTGGTCACATGGCCCGGCCTGACAAAGTGACATTTATGTCAGATCCAGCCCTGATAACAAATGAGTTTGACACCTCTGCTCTCACCAGTACACCACACTGGCTACTGAGTTCCCATAAAAAGGATGAAAAAGGCGGCTGGGGGGGGGAGGAAGACTTAACCTAAGAATGAATTAAGAAGCTAGAAAGTTAAATGAATCCAAATTAAAGGGCCCAGTATTTAAACTGTATATAAGATGTGAATATTTATCAAATATTGTTGTTGTTCAGTCGCACAGTCGAGTCCGACTCTTCGCAACCCCATGGACCAGATCACGCCAGGCCTTCCTGTCTTCCGCCGTCCTCTGAAGTTTGCTCAATTATCAAATATACAATGTAACATAGTGGTGTATACTGAATATTTGTTTGAGATAACTGTATGATTTTAACCTGTATTGAGGCTCTATTTGGGCCTGTAATTGCTTTTAAATCATTTTGTAATAAATACACATATTTTTTGTAAAATATTCACGTCTTATATTCAGTTGTTTAAATACTGGGCCCGTTAATCCGGATACCTTTAACCTTCAACACTCTCCTCCCTAGAAGCTAAAATGACTAAACTGAGTAGTCCTTTGGCCACATTACAAGAAGACAAGAGTCACTAGAAAAGACAATCATGCTAGGAAAAGTTGGAGGCAGCAGGAAAAGAAGAAGGCCCAACAGGAGATGGACGGACTCCATCAAGGATGGCATGGCCCTCAGTCTGCAAGACCCGAGCAGGGCCGTCAACGACAGGACGTTTTGGAGGACATGAATCCATAGGGCTGCCATAGGCTGGAAGCGACTTGCGACACACACACACACCCCAAGCCCAAGAATCCACTGACCTGCTTAAAGGTGCTACTGAGGAAGTAGATGAGGGAGAGGCCGAAGACGACCCCCAGCACCCAGCGTTTGCGCAGCAGCCTCCGCCACACCAGCGCGAGCAGCTGCACCATGGATGGTTCCCCAGCCTCTGCTCGATGCCCCGGGAGAAGTGGAAGGCTCGCGGCTCGGCGGCTTCGAGGATCCGGCCCTCTGGCTGCCCTTGCTAGCCCATCTGGGAGCCTGGGGGAGGACGGGCCATTCCCACCCCATCCCAGGCCAGGCCTGAAGGGTCAGTCTGGGGGGGGCGAGGCTCTCATGCCAGGCCTGGCTTGGGCAGGGGCAGAGGAAGACACTCCATCCGACCAGAAGGAGAACAGGGCTGCCAGTCCACTGCTGGATTTTCCGGGGCGTCCAACCCCCCCAAAATGCGAGTCACGTCCAGGCAAACCCCTCCCCCACCCGCAGCTGATCTGAATTAAGAGGGAGTTAGAAACCGGTTCCTTGGCTTTGCTTCCTATGGTATCCCTCCGGCACCGGCAACGCCAGTCCGTTCCCCCCCAGGCCAAAGGAAGCCAGAGGGTCACTTGGCGTCCAGTGAGCAGCAATCGGGAGGAAGAGGGAAAGCGAGGCGGAGTCGGAAGTCACGTGCTCAGCTAGGCCGAGGGGAAAGGGGAAGAGGAGCCAACCCAAGGGGAGGGGCCGATGCGGGATCTGCGTGCCGCGGCTGCTACAGAATCGGGGACCTCAGTCATAAGGGGGGCAGGTGAGTGGGGATCCGTGCAAGCTGGTGGGCTTGCGTAGCTGGGGTAATGCAAAGTCGGCTCTCTCCATCCCTGGGGGTTCAAAGGAAATAAGCTGGTGGGGGAGGGCTGCATCATGACAAGTGGATCCCCTTCCTCCCCGCCCCGCCCTCCCCCCCAGCAGCTGCCTTGCATAATTTCATGTGCCCTGCAGTGCTCTGGGGGCTGTCGGAACGAGTCACTCTTAGACCTCCTCTGCGCATATGTAGAATGTATTCATTTAGATACTTATACCCCGCTTTGCTTCCCCAAAGAGGCTAGAAGTTGCTCACGCCGTTGTTTTCGCCGCCTGTAATTTTATCCTTGCAGCAACCGCCCTTTGAGGTGGGTTAGGTTGAGACAGAAGGAAGGTGTGGAGTGCTGAAGTCGTTTTATGGGCTTCATCGCTTCAGCCCGCGTTGTGTCTCCGGAATAAAAAAAGCACCTCAGGTGAAATGAAAAGTTTCATTTCTTTTACAGCATTTATAGCTCCGCTTTTCCCAGTAGAATAAGTCTTCACTTTGTTGGCTTTCTGCATGCAAAGAATTATTAATATGGAGGAGTCTTGAAAATGGTCATCCCTCCCTCGCAGACTTAAGTGGTACAGTCCGTCCTACCATTTCTGCCCTCTCATTTCCTTGCCCGGGTAGACCAGGAGTTAGGATGTGTGTGTGATGAAGGGCCTGTTCCTTTGCCAGTGGTCAGCCTGCGCCAGGATGGTAGCACTTCATGCTGCAGGTAGGGGCTGATGTGACAGACTGTTCCTCTGTCTAAAAAGAACCTCTTGCATGTAGAAAGCTAAAGTGTCAAGGAGAAGGCTAGATTAGACCCCTTCTCTTTGCCATGCTGGTTTTCTATATTCAAGAGTGGGGTTTTTTCCCCTTAAAAAGGAATGCTCTTTTTTTTTTAATGCACTTGCAGCCTCAAGTAGTAGAGGCTGGGAATCGGCCACCTGCTTGATATGTACAGTATTCTTGTGACCTGTCAGTGACCTCATTTAAATAGCAGGTTGGGGAGGCAAACAGCTGTGACTTAGCATGTGATCAGAGTCTCATTTAAACTGCTGCAAAGTAACTACCCATACCGAGTGTGCATGCCACTGGCCTCTAGGCCTTGTGGGTATGATGCTGGTGGGCTAATAAAGTATGTGTAGCTTTGAGAGGCAGTGTTGTGTAGTGGCTAAAATGTCACACTAGGATCTGGGAGACCCAGATTTGAATCCCTGCTCTGCCCTGAAAACTCACTAGGTGACCTTGATCCATTTATTCTCTCAGCCTAACCTACCTCAAAGGGTTGTTATGGGGAGAAAATGGAGAATGTTGTAAACTGCTTTGAGTCACTGTTGGGGAGAAAAGCGGGAAATAAATAAGCATGCGTAGCTACTTTGCGTGGATTGCAGGGCCGTTTAAACAAGACCCGTGGAATATTGTGTGGGAAACCCGTTGTCTTTACAGCCTCATCTTTAAATAGAGCCTACTCATGCTGAACACGGTGATAGAGATCTGAGGTGGTTGACTGGACTGTGTCATTTTACATGATGGGGTGGAGAGAGGCCATTTTGAATGCTTTTACCCAGGTCAAAATAGTTCCTGCATTTTTCTCTCCCGTTTTTGGTAAGTGGTATCTTACCAAGGGAGAGGGTTTTGACCAGTCTGCCTCCAGCTTAAATAGTTTTCTGATTGCAGGGAGCCTTTTCACACAAGAGAGCAGTCAAAAATTCCGTCTCCACCCTGCAGTCTGAAGTGGTGTAGTCCACTCTTAATATATTGTTCTGTTGCGGGTATAGCTTTTGCTGAAGGAAACAGCTCATGTATAGGCTGCAGGTGGGGACTCTGCTGAAAATTCTTTTTTCTGGTACTATAGTTTTCTGGGTAGGGGTGTATCTCTTTTTCTTTTTTTAATGGTGGGGCCTTCAGCCAAATGACCCTCTGCCTGCAGTCTCAAGTGACGCAGCTCACAACTGTACCACCTCTAAAATTGCTTGCTTATGTGCTGTAGTAATCATCAATAGACTGCAGGTGGGGCCTTGCATCCTCTGTGAACAAAAAATTCTTCCACATCTAGTGTGTCAAGGAAATAGTAAGCTTAATACCCTTTCCCTGACAAGCTGGCTTTCTGTTTGCAGGGAATTATGTTTTTTAAATTTATGTTATTTTCTCATCCGCCTTTCTTGCTTGGACTCAGAGATGATTACACGGGGTGAGTCAATACCATCAACAGGATGGGACATTCAGTAAACAGTGAACTAGGAACCGGGTTGTAGAACCAACCAGCAACTTAAAACAAAACTGAAGCAAAGCATAAGTGTTAACATGACACATTCAGGCTGCGGTCACACTGAACATTAGCCACGCAAGAGAGACGGAAGACAGGCGGATTTTCCAGGCGCGATCTCACCGGCACATCTGGGAAGTGTAGGGCTTCCGTGGCACAACCGAGGCTTCCTGCCGAAAACGCGCAGCAAAAAACTAGTACCTCGGAGGTACTAGTTTCCGGAAACCGCGGGGCAAGGGCGGGCATCTGATCGCGTTTCCAGTGGCATCCGTCGCCCGCCCATGTCCCCTTGCAAAAAAGGTTCCCCACCCCCCAAGTCTCCGTGGATGCGCACACGCACCCAACGGAGCATGCATATTTGTCATGTACACAAAAAAAGAAAACCAGTTTGCCGCACCGCGCGCTTCTTCGTTGCGCGCAGGCTTGTCCTGTGATCGGCACCTCTCCCTACCCATGGAACCTCCACAGGACCTCCACAGGACCTCCACGGGAGGTCTGATCGCTTAACCACACGTTAGTTTGCCCCGGGGCAAACAGCCACGCTTCCCCCCGCATTTTCCTGCCCGTGTGACCGGAGCCCCAATGACGCAAAGTTGCACAGTAGGATCCAACCCACAGCAAACTACACAGTAGTACAGACCACAGTCCCCGATAATTTATCCAAGTGATAGCCAATACTTTAAATTGAGCCCGGTAACTGATGGGCGGCCAGTGGAGTGACTGTAGCATGGGAGTAATTATATATGGGTTGTTGAGTTCTTTTAACCTGTATTGTGTAGCCACAGACTTATCATGATAGCATTTTATCATGATAAAATGGGCCTAAGAGCATCAATTACAGCCCAGTCCATTGCAGAATTAAGCCCACTGATGTCAACAGATTTATGTGTGCCCAACTTTGCATATTATCAGCTGTTCCGTTGTTCCGTGCTTCTTGTAGGGGGATCTGGTGATCTTTCCTCAGCACTGAATTTTTGTTATGGTGAAATTATATTTCCCCCCAGCAATAACTGAATTGTAATTTTTTTGCACTTTCCCTTCCCAGGATTTAAAATCTTTGTGTGTTGTGCGAATGTGATGGTCATTTGTTGGACAGTGCCCAGGTCATCAGGGTCCCGGGACCTATATGAAAAGTAAGACCCAGTATTGTGGATGGCTGTGTGCCTAGAAGTCATGGTTGACTTCTGGCGACCCCGAGTGGGGCTTGGACGTTTCAGAGAGGTGGCTTGCTATTGCCTGGCCCTGCGTCCCTGCCCTGGTATTCCTTGGAGGTCTCCCTTCCAAGTACTTGTCAGGGTTGGCCCTTTAGCCCTGCTTAGCTTCTGAGATCTGATTGCCTGGGCTCTCCAGGTTAGGGTAAGACACAGTATCTTATGCCATTCAGGCACCTCTTTGGCTGAGCTCTTTCTCACCATATCATTCAAGCCAAGCTGAATACTTCGAATGTACTTTGTGAGCTACTGGCATTAAAGTTGTGAGTGAGTGATTTGGCTGCTGCATAAATTAGTTTGCTCTGGAGCTATCTTTCCTGAGCTAAGACAAAAATGTGTGAGCTGGAGGCTAGAAAACTGTGAGCTAGCTCACACTAACTCAGTTTAGAGGGAACACTGGTTGTGATTTCTGATTTAACTGGGGCTTTCTGATAGTTTTCTCTTCTTGTCTTCTGTAGACCTTGCTAATTTCTGGTGTGGACCATCTCGTGGACCAGTGGCTCGATCTTCAAGTACTTCCTTCAGAACCTGAAGATCTTGTGTCTTCCCTAAACCCCAAATGTCCATCAGCTTCAGTGTGGTTTCCAAACAAAGAAAATCCAGTTCTTTTCTACCTTTCCTGAAAACCTCTTTCTGCTGGATCCTGTTAATACGTTAGCTGTGAAGCTTTGAAGAGTTACAGCTTTTATTTGTATTCATTGATTTGTGATACAGTTCTGGGCCAATCTTCCTTTGTGATCTGGGCCACCGAGTGAATGGGTGTCACTTCTTACCCCTTGCCACTAGTCACCCTGGGCACCGTTGATCGGCCACGTTAATGTTGAGTGTGTTGTGTTTCAAAGTGTTAAGAAAGATGCAGAGACGACACAGCAGCATCACTGACAGCCTTCTTCCTGAAAGGTGAGTCTGTTTAAAGTTGTGGTTATGGTGCATGAAAATGTGCCAGAGAAATGGCAGTCTAGGTTTCCAAAGCCAGTTCTGTGTTCCTGGCAGTAAGGAGCAGATGTTTTGGTGTGGTTGCTGGACCCAGGCAGGCGGATAGGATGGTTTTGTGTTACCTTCTATGAGATCCCATTGCATATGTCAACTCTGTTATCAAGGATGTTTCTTGCTGGAGTGGACAGAAGACCATGTGTATTTATTTATTTATTTATTTTGTTCAATTTCAGTTTGGTGTAGTGGTTAAGTGGTTAATCTGGGAGAACTGGGTTTGATTCCCCACTCCTCCACTTGCACCTGGCTGGATGATCTTGGGCAAGCCGTAGTTCTGATAAGAGCTGTTCTTGAAAAAGAGCCGTTTCTGTCAAGGGCTCTCTCAGCCCTGCCTACCTCACAGG